ACAAGGGAGGCTACAGCAAGCGAAATACCTGCAAGGCAAAGGAAACAATCAACAGAGTGAAAAGTCAAGTTATGAAATAACTTGGAAAAATAATACAGATCATGTTGCTTAATACCAAAGTGTATAAGAAATTCCTACAACTCAATAGCATAATAATAGTAACAATAGTAGCTCCCTAAAAAAATCAGCAAAGAACTTGAGTAGACAATTCTCCAGAGACATTGAAAAGGTCACTGGGTATATGAAAGGCTGTTTTACATCACCAATCACTAGGGAGAGGCAGACCAATGCTACAATGAAGTATCAGCTCACACGTAAGGAATACTATTATCAAAAACCAAAGATGAGGATTGGTGAAGATGTAGAAAAATTAGAATCCTTATATATTCTCTTAAATCATTGGTGGGGATGTAGAACAATGCAGAACTATGGAAAATAACATGGATGTTCCTTTAAAAATAAAAACAGTGCCTGGCATGGTGGTGCATGCATGTAATCCCAGCACTTGGGAGGCTGAGGCAGGTGGATCCCTGTGAGTTCGAGGCCTGCTGAGGCTGCGAAGCGAGACCTTGTCTCCAAAGAAAAAAAGAAAGAATTACCATATAATCTTGCAATCTCACTTTTTTGTGTATAAACTCAAAACAACTTAAGTCAGAATCTTGAAGCAATATCTGCACCCCCACATTCTCTGTAGCAGTATTCATAACAGTTAAGATTTGGAAACAACTCCAATACCCATCCACAGGTGAATAAAGATAGTATGATATATATATATATAATACACAAATCTACCCAAAAAATGTATACATCAGGAAAAGAAAATTTGTACAAAATTTTAAAACTAAATTTATTGAGACACCATGAGATTAATACAAGTTACCTTGGCCTCCACAATTACAAGAGGTGCTCAAAGTGGTGGCCATTAGCTTCCAGGCATTTATTAAAATGGTGTATTACAAAGTCTGCCAAAAAAATGTATGCACAGTTCAGGAAAAGAAAAATAGTATGTTTTCTTAGTAGATGATGTTACTCTCACATGTGGGACCCTAGAGGATGTTGGATATTGCAGAAAATCTACTATATAGAGAAATTGAAAATGTGCAACAATCTTAATGATCAAGGTTACCCAAGCAGCAGTTCACAATTTTTTTTTTGTTGTTGTTCCAAGAATTAAACTCAGGACCTCATGCTTTCCAGGCAAGTACTGTGCCACTGAGCTATATCCCCAGCCCCACCATATTAATAAATGGAGTCTATATACGTTTTTGGCAGACTCTATATTCTATTAAATGATATACATATGCACACAGGTACATATGTAATGAAATATTATTCAGCCTTTAAAAAAGAAGGAAATTCCACCATTTACAACAATGAACTTGAGGACATTATGCTAATTGGATAATAATAAGCCAAGCTTACAAGGACAATATGCTTGATAATACTCAAATGAGTACCTAACCAAACTCATGGAGGCAAAGAATAAAACAGGGAAGGCCAATGGCTGGGGAAGGGAGAATCAGGAAACTGCTGATCAGTAGATATAAAATTTCAATCACAGAAGATATTCACAAATCTAAAGATCTGCTGTGCAACACTGTGCCTATACTGTACTGTACACCTAAAAATCATTAAAAGGGTAGAATTCACACTAAATGTTCCTACAACAAAATTCTTAAATGTCAGTTTTATTGAGGTTTTTACTCTGAGTCTATTGATACATTTATTATGCATTTGAATTAATATTGTACTTTCCCAAAACATACTAATAACCTTGTACTGACAGCCTTCCTCAGGGACCTTTTTTTTCAAAGTTTTCTTCACTATAATCACAAAAATTCTTCTTCTTCAAATTGACTTTAAATTCATTTTGCATTCCAAAATGAGAGTAATATATATGTATATATATATTTGGAACTTGACAGGAAGTGCATTAAATTTATGACTTAATTTGATGAATATATTTTCAACACTCAGTATTCTCATAAAATAGTGCTCCCTTTACTCAAATTATCTGTTACAACCTTCAGTAAACTGCATCTTCTCTAAACAAGTCCTACATGCTTCCTGTTAAGCTGATTCCAAGATAGCTAAAATTTAGGACAAATACATACAGCTTTCTCCCTCTCATTTTTCAAAATGGTTATGGCTGATTTATGGAAAATCTGTTTTATGTTTTTGAGTTACAGCTGTTGTGATTTAGATCTAGAAGTCACCCCATGAGCCTCATGTGCTCACAGCAGGGCTTCAGAAAGAGGCCTGAACCATGCAAGCTATGCTGACTGGCTGCCTGGAGGTGGGCCCTGGTCAGGGGAGATGGGTCACTGCAGGCAGAACCTGGAAGAGTATATAGTTCCCTACCTGCTCCTCCCTTCTTTCTCTGCTTCCTGACCACCATCATGTGAGCAGCTCTCCTCTACCCCAAGCCTTTCTTCCGTCCCATGTCTAAAACGAACATGGACTGAAACTTCTCAACTATGAGCCATAATAAACCTCTCTCTCCTTCTTTAAGTTGTGGATGTCAGGTATTTTGTCCTAGTGACAAGAAAGTGACTCTGTTCAATTATGTACTTGCTTCTAAATCTTCTCCTTATTCATAGTCTTAGCTAGAACTTCCAAAACAAGATAAACCACAGGTTGAGTATCCCTTATACAAAATTCTTGGTGCTACAACTATTACACTTTTCAGTGTTTCTTACATTTTGGGGCTCTTTCACAGACTTTACCAGCTCAGTACTCTTAATCCAAAAACATGAAATCCAAAATGCTCTGGAATCTGAAACTTTTTCACTGTTATGTTGGTGCTCAAAAAGTTTTGGATTTCAGAGCATTTGGACTTCGGATTTTCAGATTAGGGGTACCTAACCTGCAATAGTACCAGTACTAGGTATTATATGTGCTGGATATTTTGTTTTCTCTTTCAAGTCCTAACTTATACAGTGCTTCTCTCATGTCCCATGTTTAAGACTGGCCTATATGGACTGCATCCAAATAAATGTAGCCAAAAAGAGGCATTGGCAAAGATAAATTTGAAGGACAATAAGGTTAACTATACCAGTGGGGTCCACTCTATCAGGTCACTCAAGCTGGGAGTTCTACTTAACTCCTATGAGGTCAGCCTCTCCTACAATTTACTGCTACCCTCACCAAGACCCAAACAGAACTCTCCTTTTACATCTGTTATATCCCCATGGCAATTATATTCCAGTTAGTAAAACAAAAACCAAAAAACCAAAACTCCCTCTTTTGGCTCTGCTCTTGTGGAAAAAGATGAATCACCTTATGCATATATGAGATCATCTTCCTTTCATGTTTAAGGTTCAATATGCAGTAAGTTTTAAATACAGTATTAATAATACCCTTCAAAATATTTTAACTATACTTCTGTCTCTTTGATGTAAGATTTATATACCTATGGACTCATTTAGAGCTTTCTGTTCTACCTCACTGTGCTGCGAGTATGAGGCCTGCTGTTTTTTCCACCACCACTGTCCCCTGTAGCTCTCCCAGATCTCTCTGTCCCACTCTAATTCATTGCCATAGAACTTATCACCTTCAAGCATTCTATATCCTTTATTTCTTAGGTGTAAGTTTGTCTTCCCCCATTACATGCCAACTCCTTGACAAGCAAGTCTTTAACTCATTGAGCATTCCAAGTGCTCAATAAATATGATAGGTAAATAGAGGAAGCCTGGGTCCATTCCTCATTGCTTCTTATACCACTTTAAATTTCACTATAGCATTCTTTCATAACATTCCTTCCTTAACTCTGAGTGCTCTTTTATTTTAATCTCTAGTCTTATCTCATTGTTCATTACTCATTTTTCTTTCCCTGAATTCGTATCTTTTTCAAATACACCGCCAATCAAAACAAATGCCAAATTTACTTGTTTTTCCTACAAGAATTCTTTACAAACATAAGACTTCTTAAGCACATAATTTTTTATGATGAATAGTTTTGCATAAGCACTGTTTTAATCCTTTCATATCTGCTTCTGAGCTTAGCAGTTGCTCAAAAAGAGTGTAAATCCTGCCTGAGTCTTCCCTTTACACTGGTACATGCTTAGAACTGTCCTTGGATCTTCAGCTAAGCAGCTGAGTAGAAGTTCTATTCTTCCATCTGTGCTTTAACAGCCTGAGGGAGGAAAGTGGGGTGGGTGAACATCTGGCCCTGGATATTCTCACAAGGAATCTCCATCTGTATTTGCTAAAGATGACTATCTCTCGTATCTAATTTTCAATCAGGCTCAGCTACTATTCCACATAAATTCAGCATTCTGCTCAAGGTGTTGCTGGTAAATAAGAAATGTATCTCCCCAGGGAGAAGATCCACCCTGGGGCCCTCTACTGTAATTATTTTTGGACGACCTTCTAAACATAGGTTTTGACCCAGACTTCTTGACTTCAAATCTCAGTCAGGAATTTAGATGTGTGGTTCACTTTCCACACCCACAAGTGGACAAGGTACCTACATCTCATTAGATTGTTGAGCAGTGTGTGGATACCTTTGAAGAACCCAGAATAGTGTCTATTCATAAAAAAGAACTTAATAAATGCTTACTATTTTTCTCCCCTTCTCTGCATTACTTCCTACTTTTATCTCTATGAAAAAGAGGTTAATAGGAACATGTCAAGATTTTTTTTTACTTAAAGTGAGTATGATGTATTTTCTTAAGTAAGAGTTTGTGGGTAAATTTTTCATACACTCCAAATCCAATACAATCTACACCGAATGTAGCATGTAAATTTTTCCATGCTCCTATATTCCTCTGACCCATCTCCTGGCTTTACAGAGCATAGTAACATATCTAGGCCTATTAAAAAAAGTTTCTTTCTAAAAGCTCTCTGGAATTACTTAATTAAAAAATAGACTTCTCATTGATGAATTTCAAGGAATCAGGAATAATTTTCTCTATTCTTTCATTATCGATTTAAATAGTCCTCCAAACTTAAGAAACCTGCTCTACAATACCAAATTAAGAAAGAATTCAATTACTCACGATGCACCGGAATTCATGATACAGCTCTTTGCTCCACAGAAACAATCTCTCCCGTCATCGTGATTCATTCCAAGGTTATGACCCAGCTCATGAGCAACAATGGATGCAAATGTCTCCACAGTGATTTGTCCAAACTATCCAAACACAGGAAGGTAGTAATTAGGTTTCTGAATGAAAGGAAGTGTTTTGTTTCTCAGATTTTCCACAAAAGGAAATTTATGCACTAAATGTTGATAGCCTGTATGAATCTAGCATCCAATGAGTCTATACGTTTCAGTCTAGTAAGAAAATGGTACAACTCACATACTGATGTTAGGCAATAGATCAATCACCTTAGGCCCAACAGGTTGATTATTCAAAATAGTTTATGGGCTGGGATCTCATCTTATTGAAAAGTTTTTGTATATCAAAAGAAATCACCAACAGAGTAAAAAGAAAACCCATCAATTGGGAAAAAATTTTAGCTGACTGTCCCTCAGACAAAGGACTTCTATCTAGAACATATAAAAATTTTTAAAAATCAAGCCCCCAAAATTCAAGGACCCAATCCAAAAATGGGCATCTGAGATGAATAGACACTTCTCAAATGAAGAAATACAAATGGCAAATATATGAAAAAATGTTCAACATCATTGGTCATTCGAGAAATGCAAATCTAAACAACACTGAGATTCCATCTCACCCCAGAAAGAATGGCCATCATCAAGAAGTCAACCAATTACAAATGCTGGAAGGGCTGTGGGGGAAAAGGAACCCTTCTCTACTGCTGGTGGGAATGTAGACTGGTACAACCACTATGGAAATCAGTGTGGAAATTCCTCAGAAAACTAGGATTAGAGGTCCCATTCAATCCTGATAGGGTATTTTTCCAGAAGAACTGAAAACATCATACCATAATGCATATATATTCATCCATGTATGTAGCAGTGTAATTTGTCATAGCTAAACCTTGGAAATAGCCCAAATGCCCATCAACTGAGGAAAGGATAAAAAGATATGGAATTTTTACACAATGCAGTATCACTCAGCTACTAAAAAAGATAAACTTGAGGTTTTTACACGTAAATGGATGTAACTAGAGGCCATACTCATAAGTGAAATAAATCAGACTCTCATGTGTAAACATCGTATTGTCTCCCTAGTGTAAGAACCTGAAAGAGTAAATAAACCCAAAAGGTACAATAGATATTGTGAAAGGGAAAGAAATTGCTTATAAGGAAAGAACAACTGGGATGAGGAAAAGAAAAGAAAGAAAGAAGGGAAAAAAATCTGTATATACAAGAATAGATGGGATAATTGAACTACTAATATCTTGGTTTAATGAAAGAACAGTTAATGCTTAAATCTTTTTTTTTTTTACCAATTTTGCATGCTTATCCCTGGTAATTTGAACATCTAATTTGAAAAAAATAATATGCAATATAACAACCATTGTTGAAGTCCTACCATTTTGATTAGTGAAACTGTACTGTTTCTAATTTTTTGTATTATTATTTTTTATTCTCTTTAATCGTTTGATCAATCTTACATCTGGAATCTGAGCAACTTCGTTGAAGATAACAATATGTCATATAACAACCATTGTTAATTTCCTATCATCTTGTGTTGAAATTCTGCATCACTTTTATTGTTTTTGTGTTGTTTTCTTTTTATCTTCGTTGTTATTTTGTTTTCTATTCCCTTTAAAATAAAAACAGTTCATGGGAAAACTGGTTGGTGACTAACAATTCTTTTGAACAGACTCTTTCCTCATCCATTAAAAGATGCTAATAAACATAATAAAGATTAAGAAAGTTGATCCAGGATCTATGAAAAGAACACACTTTTTGCTTCTATTGTGTCCTCTGTAATATTCAAAATATACTTTAAGCACCAGAGAAGGCATATAGAGTCAATAAATACTGCCCTTATGCAGCGATCCAAAACTGGACATCAAGAACATACCACGTTGATCCCGCCTGCATGGCTCCTGGAACACACTGTTCCCACAAATGCCATTCCTGCAGTCCCGCCGAAGCCTTTCTTTCTAAATGAAAAGGTAAAAGTTATAAAATGTATTTGTGGACATGAGAACACATTGCTCCTATTTCTATGGGTAACATCAAATGGATTAGCACACCTACAAAAACTGGGAGAATGGCAAAGACAAGTAACAATTTTCAAATGGAAACATAGTTAGCTCTGTCTTTTCTCCTTTCCATTATCAGAAAATGAGATTAATATTACAAATGCATTTGAGAGTTTTTTCAGACACATGATACTTTTATATACACTAAGCTAAGTTGTTTCTTAAACTTCTAGATGAAAAACTTTGTGAAAATGTATTGCATTTGTTTGTTTGACCAATTTTGATGTAACAAACCAGGGAATTTATTCACAAGGGAGGCTGCAAGGTGTGGAACACAGTGAACAGAAGTCACAGCAGTCCCCACACTGTTCTTCAACCTGCCCAACACTGTCTCTGGCCTGGTTCCTCAGCTGGAGCTCTCTTTCCCAATGTATTTCCCCAGCTCAGCCCTACCCTCCTTCAGGTCTTTTCTTGCAAGTCGTGTAAATGAGGTTTGCCCCAACCAAGTTACCTCAGATTTCAGCCTCGTTCCTTTCGTACTTTCATATCAACTGTTCCTATTTTATTTTTCCTCCTTACCACCATCATTACTTAACAAATTACATAATACTTATTTATCTCATTTACAGACAATCCCTTCCTCAGAACTTAAGAAATCCTAGTCTATAACACCGAATAAGGATTCCATGAAGAGGAGGTATTTTCAACTATTTTGGTCACTGCCATGTCCCAATGTCTAGGGTATGCACTGAATAAATACCTTTCAAGTAACTCCTTCTCTGGGGCATCTGATGAGCTCAGTGAATATGACAAAGCTCCTGAAACACGGGATTGCCAAGGAATCATTTCAGCTGATAATACACCCCTCAGTCCCCAAGACCCACTCATGTACTCAAGTCTTCCAAATGGTTTTTTAGTGCCCCATTAACTCCAAACAAGCAACCAAAGATCACTGAACACCTGAGAATGTATTCAACAGAAGAGAGAGTAAAGACACCAAACAACATAGGGAGAAAGTAGTTTGGCAGATAGAGTTGGGGAAGACACAATACACAGGCCTGATGCCTGCTCCATTTGGTCCTGTGACTCAGATGGTATTGTCACTGGAATGAGGATACTTGCATGTGTGATTTTACTGAAAATTAACTTAAAAACAGGATTATGGGGCTATAAAAATCTATTTAGGCATTTTTAGTTTCTTGCTTCAAATCAAGCCAAATTCACAAGAGAAAACAAAACAAGCAAAAAAAAAAAAAAAAAAAAAAATCAGAGGACTAGGACAAGAAATCCAATAGCCTAGTAAAGGGAATCCCAGGAGACATGAATACAAATAAAATAGAAGATGAAACCACCTATAAAAGAATTCAATAAAAACTCTTAAAACTGAAAGACATCAGTTTGCAGTTAGAAATTACCCACCGAGGACACAGTAAATGACAAAAGGCCTAATGATAAACATCATCAGGAAAACTCAGAAGCCTGACAGCCAAAAGAAGACCCTAAAAGTTTCCACTGACAATGAAACACTACCAGCCACACAAAAAAAGGACCAGGAATAGGAATGGTTTCAGGCTTCTGGAGAATACTACTAAGGTCTGCAAGTGGAGCTCAAAGGCAAAGCACTTGTCTAGCAGGTGCAAGGCCCTAGGTTTGACTGGGGAGAGAGGTTTACTAAAGGTCAAAAGACAATAACAAAGTGCCTTCAAAATTGCCTAGGGCTAAGGATATAGCTCAGTGCTACAGCACTTGCCCAGCACACAACAGGCACTGGGTTAGATCTCCAGCACCACCTGTGAAAGACTGAGGACTAACCAGAGCTCAAGTTGACACCACCTTTAAATTCTGTTCTTAGACTGTGAAAACACATTGTCAGATATGCAATAGGTCAAAATTTATTTTTTCCATACATCTTTCACAAAAAGCAACTAGAAAATATGCTATACCAAAATAAGGACATAAATTCAAGAAAGGAGAAGGACATGGGATATAAGGAAAGAAGAATCTAATACAGAAGAGAGTTCTCATTATCATGTTATATACTATGGTATCAAACAACCGAGCTTTCTTCATTGAAATAAATGCAAAAAACCTTGAAAGTGAATTTTATATATATGTCTAGTACAATAAAATAAGCAAAAATATCTTTCTCATCATTTCATCCTCAGTACTTTTTTTAGAAACCACTCACAGAACTAACTGTGCACTGTCATGTCTCCGACGTGTTATAAGAAACTTCTCCCGCCACTGTACAAAGTTTCCCAACACATCACCAGCACCTCCTGCTACACTGATCAGGTTTCCATTTGTCCAAATCTCCAGCCCAACCAGAACAATTCGAATATTTAGCATAATATACATCTAGGAAGAAAAGAGAAATAAAAGCACATAAAATACATTTTAAAATATGAGAAAAATCTTTTAACCACATGAAGTAACACAACTATTTAAATTAAGAGCTCCCTTTCCAAAACAAAGTCTTTCCTTCAATACAGTGACACTCTAACTTCTCAAAAGTTTCAAAAATGATAACAGAGATCCATAAAGAGTAAGTAACTGAAATTCAAAATCCCTTTTATTGCCTATTCTAAAACCTGACAACAATGAAAATTAAGTTTTTTGGTGAATTTTGTTCCAAAATTTACCCTGGAGTAATGCAAGTCTATTCATATTCTGTATTTATCCCATTGCTAAGGTTTGGATCTGGAATGTTCCCCAGAAGCTGATGTGCTGCAGTCTTGGTCTCTACTATGGAGAGGCAGTGGAACCTAAGAGGTGGGCTGAGGGGGGGCCTTGAAGGAACCATAAAACCCACCCCTTCCTCTTCCTCTCTTTTGTTTCCTGACAAATAGATGAATGGTTCTGCTCCACGACACGCTCCTGCCATGCTGTGCTGTCTCATTACAGGTCATAAACAATGGGGCTAATGGAACATAGACTAAAATTTTCAAAACTATAAACCAAAATAAGTCTTTTCTCATTAAAGGTTAACTATGTCAGGTATTCTATTACAGTGATGGAATACATTTAAGGTGACTATTCATATCTTTCACTGCAGAAATACCAATGGGTATGATCACAATGTACTGTCCCATGATCCTCTTGGAGGTGTTATATAATACATGATAAACCATAAAACCTTTCTAAATTTTTATCTAAAATTCTATTCACACAGAAAGATTTCAAATAAAGGATTGTGGAACTCATATCTATTTCACAAAGGTACTGTGAGGAATAAATGAGTAATATAAAGCCCTTAGCTCTTTTCTAATACTCAGCAGAATGTTACCATTACCATTGTCATCATCATTATCATCCCTGACGTTTGCTATCAGGGAAATAAATGTAAAATTATCTCATAAAACAAGTATCTAACTCTTTACTATCACCCATGGGATAAAATCCAGTATCTAAAACCAAATCACATATACACACACACAAAGAAAGTATTACAGTCTCAGGGGAGGAGGCGGCATTATGTAAAATAAGATTCTCTCAATAAAGATTTTAAAATCTTTTCATAAACAACAAAGTACCTAAGCCTACTGAAAGACGAAGTAGATTCTAATTTAAAATATTTTTATTTTCTCAATCTTTTTTACACTTATACATTCCTTTCAAGCACTAAGAAAGTTAGAAGACAAACTAGAAAAAAGATGTTTCAAAGACTGAGTCACATAAACCTATGATAATGAGAACTCAAAATAAGACAATTTTTAAATTCTGTTCTGAGGCTATGAAAGATAGGGCAGAATAACCCTAGGTGACAGAAAATACAACTTACGCTATCCAAGTAGTTTGCTAAATGAATCATTTCTTCTCTGACAGCAGTCTGATTTCTTCCCATCATATCATACTGTAAAAGTGAAGAAGGCAAATTATTATCATTAATGTAATATAAGAATAAAAATATCAGTCAGGCATGGTGGCACACACCTGTAATCCCAGCACTTGGGAGGCTGAGATAGGAGAATCATTGCAAGCTCAAGACCAGCCCAGGCTATAAAGCGAGCTCAAGGCCAATCTGAACTGCATAGCAAGGCCCTGTCTCAAAAAGACAAAAAAGGAATAAAAATATCTATAATCTGTTACAATGAAGATAAGAATCTAAGTATTTCTTCTGAATTAAAAATTGAGGCATTTAGATATTTACCAACACTTCAAAACAATAAATCAAAATGATTCACTCTAGTGATAAATAGTAATAAAATGAAAACAAGGCCCAAGTTTCAAAGAACACAATGAAGCCTTCATTTTCGTCAAATTGGTATAACTATAAAATGAGTTTTCCCCTTTATGTTATTTGTGTTTACTTTAAAGCAAATATGTTTTTAAGCATTTCAAAAACACATAGTTTTAAATAATCAATATCCATAGATAAAGGAATAAAAAGCAATCTAACAGATTTTCTGATCCTTTCACTTCTTAGGCTAATGATACTGCCAATAAACTATTTCTAACCCCTGGGCTTAAAATAATTACGAGAAACTAGCTAATGACCATGCATTGGAAAAGTATATGTGGATAGAAACATACATAATAAATTTTGACCATATTTAAGTAAGATAATTGATATAGATAATTCCTGTGTCCCAGTCAAATTCAAATGTCTATTTGAACACTATTTCATATAACCAACATACTAATCAAAAGAAAATTTTAAAAAAAATTTTATAATTCTGTTCTATGATAAAATGTTAATATCAGACTTCATCAAATAGGCATGTTATTGTGATTCTCCTACACACACACAAAAAAAAATTAACACATTTGACAGTGCTTGATAGAAATGGAACCATTTTTATCTTGAACCATTTTCTACCTGTATGTTAAAAATCTATTTGGAGTCAGCAATAGAGAAAGGTGTTTTAAACCTCTATTTTGGATAATTAGATATGCCTAAAGAGTGTCCATTCAAAAGTAGTCACCTACAAGGTACATCTGTAAACAAGTACACTCAAGAAGACTCCAATTCCAATGAAGATTGATCATTATGTTTCTTATACTAATATGCTGAGTATGTTTTGCTCTATAACCATTATTTATTAACATTCTGCAGAAGTATGACTTCTAGCAGATAATCTGAGCTGTGTTTTGATGATGGACCATCTACTATAAGACAGGATGAGTCACTGACACCCAATAGCCAGAGGAAATTATAGTTGTTAGAATTAGGATCCACTTAAGTTTAATAAATATCAAATAGATTTTCTTTTTTTTTTTTTT